AATTCAATCCCCAGTTCCACCAAAAAATAAATAAATAAATAAATAAATAAATAAATAAAATGTATTCACCTTTTCAAGTGGAGCTGCTGAAGGGCTCTTCCTGGTCAGTGCAGATGAGTAGTCAGCGGCAAGAACGTCAGAGCTTACGCCTGAACGTGGGAAGTGCGGCTAGGCGGGGACCGTCCCGCACACTGCTGCTTCCACCTGCATCTCCCCGCAGGCATGCCGCAGCGTTCAAGCCCCAGGCTGGCTGCTGTGCTGACTTCACCCCTGTGCGCCATCGGGGCTGCGGCGGGCAAGTCCGCTCCCACCTGCGGCGGCACTGGCCCATCACCCCCTGGCCTGGCAGAGCCACAGGTGCATAGACCTTGAGCAGCCAGCCACATCCCCAGGCCAAGTGTCACCAACGCTGTCCCTGCCAGGATCCGTAGAGTGCCTGCATTTTCTGCCTTTGGTCAATTTGCAGTCTGGCAAGGGTGGCTCTGGCAGTGGGAAGCAGTTAATGGTACATTGGGGAGAGCGTGTAGCCAGCTCGCTTCTCTCTCATCCTGGAACCACCATGTTCTTCCCGAGGAAGCTTGGGCCTTGTGCACACTAGGGGCTACAGCATGTCATCTTTTGGGGAGTCCCATTATGTATCAAGTCCCTGGTGGCCTGGCGGCCCAGGTGTCCAGCAGCCTGGGACCCTTCACCACCCTCAGCCCTGTTCCGCAGGGAAGACGCTCCTCAAGGTGTCGGAAGCTGAGAAGCGCCTGGGAGCCGCTGAGAGGGACTTCATCCACACGGCCTCTGTCAGCTTTCTCACGCCCCTGCGCAACTTCCTGGAAGGTGATTGGAAGACCATTTCGGTGAGCTGCCCCCCGCCCAACCCCCTGCAGGGGACCTGGGACTCCTGGGACCTTCCTACCCAGCAGTGGCTGCCACAGACTTGAGTGACCTGGAGCAACCTTGCACCTCTGGGCCTCAGTTTCCCTGTCTTGACCAGACAGCCCTTGGACTACCAGGGCCTCACAGCTCCCCACTGCCCACCCTACAGAAGGAAAGGCGACTCCTCCAGAACCGGCGTCTGGACCTGGATGCCTGCAAAGCACGGCTGAAGAAGGCCAAGGCTGCGGAAGCCAAAGCCACGGTAGGTGTCCCCACCAGCCTCCTGGTCCCCCGGGCTCTGGCAGGAGCTGAGGATGGCAGCTACATGAGGACCTGGTGCTTGGCATGACCTCTGTCCCTGCTCCTGGCTGGGAAGGCATGTGCTGGCCATCATGTCTGTCTCCCCACTTCCAAGGGAGCCTTGGTGGCCCAGAGCAGGCACTCGCAGAGTGGGTACAGGGCAGCCCACTGTCTCCCCAGACAGCCAGCTGGGGGTCTCGCATGCCCTCGCCACCTCCCTGGATGCTCTACCTGGGCACGGCTCCCCTACTAACCTTCCCTGCTGCTGGACCATGGGGCCAGGGTGTGCTGTGCTCGACGCCCCTGTGAGGGTGTGGAGAGAGAAAACTCAGGGCAGGCCCGCAGCACACGTGAGCTGACGCGGCCAGGCTGGGCCAGGAGAGGGCGAGCTCCCCCTTGCATGCCAGGGGCTTGGGGTGCAGGGCATGGAGGGGACTTGCAGCTCCCAGCCTGCTAGGGGACTGCCACCTGTGAGTTCCCAGGCTCAGCCAAGAAAGGCTCCGATGAGCCTGAGTGGGCTTCCGGCTTCCGTGACCCTCTGTTCTCCTGCTGGGTGGGGGCGTGGCACGGAGCTCTGGTGCCACAGCTGGGCCTACACTGCCTCCAGCAACCATGTTCTCTCTGCTCCCCCAGACCAGTGGCCAGGGCTATCTGGGGCCATTGGGATTAGCTCTCGAGTCACCTGGGCAGGACAGCCTCATGCCGGGACGAACTTCCCTATCCGCCAAGCCAGGGCACCCTTTCCTAGTTCCCTCTCCCCACGGTCCAGCATGGGTCAGCAGGAGCAGTGCTCCCAGCCTCAGTGACCCCGGCCCCCGCGCCACTCCTTTCCCATACGAGCGGGCCTGGCCTCCTGCGCATTTCAGCCTCCAGCCTGCGCTGCGCTCTGGACTCACTAACTCTCTGTTTCTGTTCCTTTCCGTCCTGCTTTGGGTAACTTGGCTCAGTGTGAGGGAGATGTGAGTATACCTGTCCCGCGTGCTGTGCTGCTTCTGGCCCGAGAGCCCGGTCCAGGGTGCGTCTGGGCGGCTTGCAAGCAGCTGCGCTCTGCCGGGCTGAGCCCCGTGCTCCAGGCAGCTCTTTGCAATCGTTGAACGCCTGTCACTGTCCATCCGTGCATCCGTCTGTCCACCCTCATGGGGGGAGGGCCTAGCCCTGGATGCAGGAGCCACAGACATGGTGTGTGGAGATTCTTGGGGGTGTCTGTAGGGGACTGGGGGCCTGACTGGGGCCTCGGAGTGTGTCTGGGTCCGGATAGGAGGGGCTGGGCCAGGCTGAGGCCCTCTGGGAGCAAAGGCTGTGAGAGCAGTTTTGCCTGCCCTCTTGGGGTCCCCAGCACATGTACCCCGGGTCACTGGATTCCCTGGCCCCTCAGTCTCATCTCCAGCTCAGCGCTGGAAGCAGACACAGGGGTCTGTAGTGTTTCTGTCTGTGTCCCCCTCGCCCTGGGGCAGAGGCTGCTGACACTGGTGGGACAGCCTCCTGGCCTCGACCCCAGACCTGGCCCAGGGTGACCCACTCCCCCCATGAACTCTGTTCCCTGCCAGACGGTGCCTGACTTTCAGGAGACTAGACCTCGTAATTACATTCTCTCGGCCAGCGCCTCCGCGGTAAGCGCCCCACCCCCCTACCCCGGCTCCCTAGCCCTGCTGGGCCTAACCATGCAGGAACTGGAGCCAGCAGGTGACACAGGGCCTGCTTCCCGGAGTGAGGCCTCGCCCCAACCCCAGGGCCTGTGCCTCACAGCCGGGCTGGCTTCTGAGAAGCACTGGCGTGGTAGCGCCGCCGTCTGCACTGAGCCACCCATGTAGGGAGCTGCAGACAGCCCTGTCTGTCCTAGCCTGCCACCCATCTGCCACCCTCACGGCTGACTGCCTTGGGAGGGCCCAAAGGGTGCAGCGGAGGCCTGAGCCTGCCTTCCCCAACCCAGACTCGCAGGTGAAGGCTGAGGCAGCTGCCCCTGTCGCACACCTCAGTGACCAGGGAGGACAGGGAGCCTGGGCCCAGGATCTGGTTTCAGGTTAGGGCTCATCCCGAGGAGGGCAGCTGTCCATGGCCTGCAGGGAGGTGGGTGGCGGTGCCCAAGGCTGAGCTGTGTCCTGGGTCTGCCAGTCAGTTTCCCCTGTGGAGTGTGGGAGCGAGACCAGTCACACTTCATCACACCTGTCACAGCCACGCTGCCCTTGCTGTCCTTCCATGTCCCCATGGGCAAAGTCCTCTGCGCTGCCCTGCAGCCTCCTCACCAACCTGAGCATGCAGCTGCGTGATCCATGCAGTCACTCACGGCTGGTCATTGTCCCTTGAAGTGCCAACTGCACTTAATGCTTGCAGCCCATGGCTGGGCTTTGGTGTGGCACATGTGTGGCACAGCCTGTGGCTGTGTATTGTGGCCTGTACCTGTGCCAGCTGGCTTGCTTCCACATTCTCTGTTAGGACACTGTCCTAGGTCGGGTTCCCAGAGTGGCCAGAGAGCCAGGTCTGAGTCACGGCGGGGGGAGGGGGGTCTTTCTTCCCTAGACTCTGGAGGACACTTCCTGCCCCCTGCCCCGGGCCGAGTGGAAGGAGAAACAGCCTGGAGGGTGGAGGCCGCCCTGTTTTTTTCTTTTGCCACTGAGCCCCAGTGTGACTCAGGCCCGAGGCTGCCTTTCTCTGCCGGAGGACAGAAAGGTTCAGTGACTGGCCCAGGGTCACACGTCCTGCCTCCCAGCCCTCCAGCCTTAGCTAGGAGTCCGGGGTGGGACACATGGGCTGTCGTTGGAGGCCTCACCCAGAGTGGGGGCCTGGCACTGTAGGAGAGCACAGCAGGACTTCCCGGCTGGCTGTCCCCTCCCTGCATGTGGCATGTCAGATGGGCTGTGATTGTCATTTGTGCCCTCTCAGCTCCTGGTGTGGCTGGGTGGGGGCAGAGGGGCTGGGATTGGGTCCCATAGCTGGGTCTGGCTGTCGCCTGTCCCGCTGACTGGTGCTGTTGTGGTCCCGCAGCTTTGGAATGACGAGGTGGACAAGGTGAGTTCCGCCCTGGAGCTGGGACTGGGTGGTAAGAGGGGTGTGGGCTTCTAGCTGGGCCGGGTTGTGGGGTGGAAGGTACCAGTATTGGGGCCAGCTGGGACCTGGGCAGGCCTCTGCCAGGCGGCTTTTCCTGAGGGGTGCAGCTTCAAGGGGAGTTACAGCCCAGGGGAGGTGACCTCGCTGCCTAGTGCTCATGGCCCTGCGCACCCCGCCCAGGCTGAGCAGGAGCTCCGTGTGGCCCAGACTGAGTTTGATCGGCAAGCTGAAGTGACCCGTCTCCTGCTGGAGGGCATCAGCAGCACTCACGTGAGTCAGGCCCCACTGCCAGGAGGTGGCCCTTTGGGGTGGGATCTGGGCACTCTGGTGTTGGGTCTGTAAGTGTGCGTGGCCACTAGGGCTGGAGGCTGAGCGCCATGCTGACCTTCCACCCCAGGTGAACCACCTCCGTTGCCTCCATGAGTTTGTCAAGTCTCAGACGACCTACTATGCACAGTGCTACCGCCACATGCTGGACCTGCAGAAGCAGCTGGGCAGGTGTGGCCAGGCCCCAACTCCCCACCCAGTGCGTCGTCTAGCCCCTCCTGTGAACCCAGAGCACAGCACGGGGCCAGGCATGAGGTGCGAGGCTCTGCCTGAGTCCTGCCTGGACCTCCCAGAGGTGGTGCTGCCCTTGGGGATCTCCAGGTCCCCAGAATGCTTGGGGCAGGGTCGGGAGGATGCGGTGGGCCCGTCTCACCCCCGCTTGCTTTGCTTTCCCTTCTTATGCTGCCAGCTCCCAGGGTGCCATGTAAGTAGCGGGCAGGGGCTGCCTGGGGCTGGGAGGGCCCCACCTGGGGGTGATGTGGGGCTCCCTCACTCAGGGCACAGTGGCTGCTTAGATACTGCCTTGCCTCCAGATTCCCTGGCACATTTGTGGGCACCACGGAGCCCACCTCCCCACCCCTGAGCACCACCTCACCCACCACCGCCGCAGCCACCATGCCTGTGGTGCCCACAGTGGCCAGCCTAGCCACTCCGGGAGAGGCCCCACTCTGCCTGGAGGAGGTCGCGCCCCCAGCCAGCGGGACCCGAAAGGCCCGGGTGCTCTACGACTACGAGGCAGCTGACAGCAGCGAGCTAGCCCTGCTGGCTGATGAGGTGGGCCTGGTGTCAGCAGAGAGTGGGTCAGCCAGGGTTGGCATCACCGGAGACTGCAGAATGGGGGCCCTGGTATCTCACAGGCCAGGGGAGGGGTCAGCCAGACTTGCCTGCCCAGCAAGGCCAGGAGATGAATGCCCAGCCCAGGGTCTGGGTGCCTAGTCAGGGAGATGGCAGCTGTGTGCCCACTGACCGTGGCCAAAGCATAAGCTTCCCTTACTACCCTCCATATAGCTCATCACTGTCTACAGCCTGCCTGGCATGGACCCTGACTGGCTCATCGGCGAGAGGGGCAACAAGAAAGGAAAGGTGCCTGTCACCTACTTGGAACTGCTCAGCTAAGCAGGCCCCCCAAAGCCCTGCCACTCATCTTGTCTGGTGACAGATGCCCAAGTGAGGAGACTGGCCCCATTCTACCTGTGCCCGTCTTCCTGAGGGAAGGAGCTAACAGGCCACGGGCACAGCCCCTCCACCAGTCTTCCTTCTGACCTGTGGTTTGGAGCCTGGCCTGCTGCACCCCTGCGCACCCCAGCCCTCCTAGCCCCGTGGGTGGGAGGGATGCAGTGCTGGCACCCAGGTGGGCCTAGGAGCCTGGGCACCCTTGGCAAGAAGAGCACCTATCTTAGCTGCCAAAGGTCAAGGGGCAGCAGTGAAGCAGGCAGGGCTCTGGCAGCTCAGGCAGAGTGCTGCCCTCGGAGGGGACAGCCTGGCAGGAGACAGGTTGGCTCATGCAGCAGCGCCCGCCTGGTGCTACCCTTTCCCCTCCCACAGCTCCCAGCTCAAGCTGTGCGTGGCTACAGCCTTCACCTATTCTCTTTTTCACTGGTCTTTTTACTTCTGCCTGCCTGCTTGCTCTGGCCAATGGCAAATAATAAACCCTCCTTTGTGTGCTTTGTCTGGACTCCTGTCAGTCTCAGATGGCAACAGCAGGCCCCAGAAGTAGGGACAGGCAGATAGCAGTAGGTAGAAGCGAGAGGTGACACAGGCATGGGGCAGCCTAGAAGACAGGTAGAGGGCAGGTTCCCAGCTTTCCACTCCCCATGGGCATGGGCTCCCCTGGCAGCATAGTCTAGTGTGAAGCAAAGTGAATTCTCCCTGAGAATGCCTTCCCTACCTGGGGACTAGAGCCTGGTGCCATGGCCTGGACCCTAGCACGTGCCTCTGCATCCGTCTTACAGGAGGGAAAGGCGGGAGGTGTTACCGTGTACCTCAAGGTACCACAGTTGGCAGGTGGCCCGGCTGGGACTTGGGCCAGGTCAGTCTCCTTATGGGGAAGAGCTATAAATAGGGAGAGCAGTCCAGAGAGGCTGTGCCCAGTGCCAGGCACCGCCAGCTGGACAGACAGGAAGGGTGCACCTGGCAGCGTCCACCAGCACCGTCTGCTCCCTGGGTAGCGATGACACAAGGGCACTGGTGGGTTGGGCACCTGTGTACAGCCCGTCTTCCCCCGCCACTGCCTCGCCAGCCAGGCCCAGAGCTGAGAGCTGGTGTCTTCCCAGGCTCTGAAGGAACATGCCACTCAGTTGTATATAAACAGTATTTTAATATTTGTATAAATAGACCATGGTATTACCAAAAAAAACGCAAAAAAACCCGGAAAACCCCGAAACCCGGGCAAAAAAGCCTTGGCCAACCCCCCCCCCCCCCCCAGCTGGCTGTGCCATGGGAATGCTGGAGGGAAGGAGCGGCCTCCGGGCCCTGCTCCCCACCTCTGCTCCCCACCTCTGCTGTGGACTTCCTGACCTAGTACAAAAATAATAGCAGCAGAGTGGCTGGAGTGGTGGCAACCTGGAAGGGTGCTGAGCAGTGGGCCCCACCTGGGGCAGGTGGCGGCGGGCACCCTATCTCTGCACATGGCGGACAAAAGCCTGAACCAGCTGGACCAGGGGCTCCTGGCTCTCAGGGCTGGCTTTGGGGAGAGCTGTGGCCTTGCTCTGGGGTGAGGGCAGGACACCAGCCGCAGGGGAGCTGGGGTTTCCACGCCGAAAGTAGCGGGACAGGCTAGACAGCAGTGTGCTCTGTAAGAAGACAGCTTGTTTAGGCCGAGCACTCCTGGGCCACTGTCCCCAGCCCAGGGCAGGACCCTGTGGGGCTTTTTTCTTGCCAGCCTTGCCCTCCAAGAGGCCTTTGCCCATCCATACCAGCTCAGAGCTGAGCTCTTGCTTCATCCGCTGTTTGTCCCGGGGGTGCACAGCTGGGTCCCTAAGGTACCGCATGGCCTGGGAGATGAGCAAGTAAAAGCAGTTTTCCATGGTGAACATCAGCAAGGACCTACAGGAAGGGCAGGGTGGGCACTTCAGGGTGGAGCTGGCAGAGCTGAGCCACCCAGCCAAGAAAGACCTGGACTGCTAGGACCTTATAAGATCCCGCAGGGTCTTACTTCAGTGTTCTGCTTCCTTCGGCCTGCATGCTGAGCCCCACAGCCGTGGCAAGCGGCTCCTTCTTCTTGTCCAGCTGGAAGGAGAGAAGCAAGCAGTGAAAACAGAAGAGCAGCAGCTCTCCGCTACTGAGCGCTTTCTGCCCAGCAGGCCATGCGCCAGGCAGCCCTCACCGGCTGCCTGACAGCCGCTGCACACACACAGTAAGAAGGGGACATGCTGGGGAGGCTGCCAGTGTGCTGGGGCCACTGAAGTGGCAGGCTGAGGGAACACGGCATGCAGCTCACCTCTCCAAGCATGTTGAGGACCACATTCACAGTAGCCAGGAGGGTCCCAAATGAGGGAGCCACTTCAGAGTCAAAGGTGGGAGTGGTAAAGCTCAGGGCAAATAGGAAGTTGTATTCAGCAAGATCCAGTGACTGCAAGGCAAGGAAAGTGAGCTCCAGGACCCTGCAGCATAACCAGAGCCACTCAGTACAGCAGAAGAGGCCTGCTGCGGGAGCCCGTATGGTGCTTAGGGCTGCTACCTGGTCCAGGAGGATCTGACAGACATCTGGGGTGAAGTGACGCAGGGCTGCCAGCGTCCTGCTGAGGATCTTGAGGAGGCCACACTGGACCGTGTGCAAGGCACGCTGCTCAGCAGATTCTGTGTCAGCAGTGGGCTGCTTGGAGGAGGGGACCACAGGAGCTGCAGTGGCGGTGGTGGGTGGCCGCTGAACTCGAGGGGTGACAGCCGAGGGAAGGCCATCCCCGTTTTTGTTCTGGGGAGAGCCAGGAAATGAAGCAAGTGCCCAAGGTACCCCAGGGAGCCCTCTGGGCAGTCTCAGGCGGGGTAGGTACCTGCAGGTAGTGCTGAAGCATCTTGCGGCTGTGCAGGAGGGAGGTGCAGGCTTGGCACAGGTAGCCCAGGTTCACCTGGGACACGGGGAAGGGACAGGGCTACTCCTGGAGCAGCCAAACAGGTCTTCCCATGACCCTCATGCTTCTGTCCCATGTCACCCTCCTCCATCCACTGATGCTCAAGCTTGACACCCTTATAGCTACTGCCTAAGTCAGCTGGGCCCTGGGCCATTTCCCTAAGACCTAGTGACAGAACGGGCCTGGAATAAAACTAAACGAAGGGAGAGCAGGCATCATCGAAGAACAAAGGCTTAGAGACAGGGTCAAGCAGCAGCCTGCCCATCTCTCCAGAGCCTGTACCCTCCTCCCTGGCTAGCCCTCTGGCCGGCTCCCAGCTCAGGCCTGTTCCAAACCCAAGCTCTTGGCCCCCTGCACTCCCCCTCACTGTGGAAGTAAAACTTGAGGCAAAGTAAGCTGAAACGAACACTTGGCCCTTAGCAAAAAACCCACGACTGGAACAGGCGGCAGCTCACTGGGAGCCACCTCTCCAAGGCCACCCTATCAACCAGCTGCTCTCAGGCCCCACCTGGATGTCGCTCATGAGCTGAGGCAGGTGGAAGTGCCACTCCTTCCGGAACTGGGAGAGCTGCAGGATGAAGCCCACGGTGTGATCAGCCTCCTCCAGGCAAGCCAGGCTCTGTACTGTCCTCACCGCACTGAGACACTGGGAGAATGGGACAGCAAGAAAGGACAGGACAGCTTAGGGATGTAGCAGACCACACCTGCCCACCTGCAGAAGGTGAAGGCCTGCACAGAGGCCACAGGACAGCAGTGGCCAGGATGTGTGTGCGTGTGAGCCAGTGTCCTCAGAGCACCTCACAGAGACAAGGGGCTTAGCACCCTCACCTGTAGATCATCAGGCCCTGGCCGCATGAGGCGGGCAGCTCTCACCTGCAAGGTCCGCTCCTGGTGGACACCCACGAAGTCCAGGGCCTCAGTGAGGAAGTTGTAGCGCAGTGTCTTCAGTAGCCGCTCCATTAAGGACATGGACAGGCGGTAGACCCCAGGCCAGGAGGGGGCGTCCAGGGCCTTCCGGGAGGTGCCGGGTGTCTATGACAAACAGCAGATGAGCTCTGGTCCTGGTGCCAGTGACTTCCAGGAGGCCAGGCTATGGGGGTAGGACAAACTCCTGGAGGGGGCATGGTCAGCAGGAGACTGGGCAGAGGGACAAGATCCTAGATCCTGGTCTCCACTACTCAGCTTGGTCCTCCTCTGCTTGGGCACTTGCTCGTGTTCCCCTTTTACTGGGCGTTGCCAGGCAAGACTGCAAATTTGACACAATCCCAAAGGGAAAGGCTCTGGTGAGGGCGACCCTTGCAGTGAGCAAACAACTGTGAGCTGGAGGTAACCTGGCTATCTGGAGCCTTGCTGAGCCCTCAGACCACCTGCTTTCCTCCTCTGGGTCCAGGGTGGGAGGACAGCACAGCCACCTGCCCTGGCCCTTAGGGTCCTGTTAACAGTCTGGTCTGGTCTCTCTAACACCTGTAGCAGCACAAGTCCATCCCATCTCCAAAGCTGGCGTACGGGGACCAGGTGGTGTTCTGGGGAGCATGGGTGCTTGGAATGGATTCCAGGGCTTTAGGCACACTGAGTACACACCTAGGCGCCTTTCAGGGCAGAGAGCTGGAGGCTGGGGCGATTCCGCCCTCTTAGGTTATTGCACGGTGTGGAGAGGACGGCAACCCTGAGCACAGAGTGTAGTGAGGTGGGGTGGGGGCTCCCACCCAGGCCTTCAGCCAGGAGCGCTGGCACTCACCTGCCCTGTGCCATTGGGGCTGAGCTGGTACACACTCAGCAGGGGCAGACAGATGCTCTGGGTGATGCCGGCACCGGCTACAGCTGTGGCTCCCTGGAGCAGGACACAGGAGGAAACAGAGCCTGTCCCCATGGCCAGCATTCTCGCTTTGAGCCCTGGAGCCCACCGGCTTAAGCCCAGGGCGCCCTGCTCTCAGTTGGCCTCCTACCTGCTGGGTACGAGCCAGGGTGAGGAGCAGGTGGAGAGCGGCCTCAGTGAAGTGCAGATTCTGTTTCATGCGCAGGCTCACCTCCAGGGTGGTGAACAAACTGGGCAGAATAGGGAGCCTGCGGGTCACCTGCAGCCACGAGTCCCCATCCTCATCCACCTCACACAGCTCCTTGGCTAAGTGCAGGCCCAGGACACACACCTGCTGAAGCCCGAAGGCATGCATGGGTTAAAGGAAGCAGCCCAGGGAAGCGTACCCCCAAAACTGGCACCACAGACCCCGCCACTTCCCTCCTGGCCCCAACACTTGCCAGTGCCACTGCCCACCCGGGTCTGTACCTCTCACCACGTCACTGTGCCCACTGCTCCCACACCGCTCTCCACCCTCAGCTCAGCTCCCCAGAACCAGAAGTCCCCATAACACATAGTAAGGAGGGCGGCTGGCACCCAGCATAAATACGGGTATAGCTTCCCACTAACACTACCCACTCTCCCGTCACACAAAGCAGGGGGACGGTGCCTATGTGTCCCTTCTGGTCCATCTGTGAATGTGCTGGCTGTAACCAGAAGAGTGCACAACGAAGCCCGCCGTGAATGCTGTTCTGTGCAGCACCCAGGGACCTTCCAGGGCATAAATGAGCCCTTTCTCTCCTTG